GGGGGGTGGACGTGACACAGTCGGCCTTCCACTCCCCTGACTCGGCGCCGCCCCTCCCCCCCTTTTCCTCCTCCTCTTCCTCCTCCTCTGCCTCGTCTTCCTCCCCCGTCTCCTCCTCCTCCGCCGCCTCTGCCTCCTCCTCCTTCCTCCTCCTCCTCGACGATCCTCCTTCCCCTTCATCGGCGATCCTCCTCTTTCCTCCTTCTTTCTCCTCCTCCTCCTCCTCCTCCTCGGCGATCCTCCTCCTCGTCCTCCTCCTCCTCCTCCTCCTCCTCCTCGGCGATCCTCCTTCATCCTCGTCCTCCTCTTCCTCCTCCGCTTCCTCCTTGGCGATCCTCCTCCTTCCTCCTCCTTTCTCCTTCTCCTCGTCCTCCTTCCTCCTTCTTTCTCCTCCTCCTTCTCCTCCTCCTCCGCCTCCTCCTCCGCCTCCTCCGCCTCCTCCTCCTCCTCCTCCTCCTCCTCCTCCTCCTGCTCCTCCTGCTCCTCCTGCTCCTCTTCCTCCTTCTCTTCCTCGTTTTCCGCATCCTCTTCTTCATCCTTCTCCCCCCCTTCCACTTCCTCTTCCTCCTCCTCCTCGTCTTCTACTTCGTCTTCTTCCTTCTCCTCCTCCTCCTTGTCCTCCTCCTCCTTCTCCTCCTCCTCTTCCTCCTCGTCCTCTTCCTCCTCCTCGTCGCCTTCTACATAGCACTTGTGCAGGGTAGATACACGACTGCTCCTGGGCATGTAGCAACTGAGGAGGAGGAGGAGGAAGAAGAGAAGAACTACAAGACGATGAGGAGGAGGAAGAGGAGGACAAGGAGGAAGAGGAGGACGAGGAGGAAGAGGAGGAGGAGGAGGAGGAGGAGGAGGAGGGAAAAAAAGAAGATGAGGAGGTGGAGGAGGAAGAGGAGGAGGAGGAGGAGGAGGAGGGAAAAGAAGAAGATGAGGAGGTGGAGGACGAAGAGGAGGAGGAGGAGGAGGAGGAGGAGGAAGAGGACGAGGAAGAAGAGGAAGAAGAAGTAGAAGAAGAGGAGGAGGAGGAAGAGGAAGAGGAGGACGATGAGGAGGATGAAGAAGAAGATGAGGAGGTGGAGGAGAAGAGCGAGGAAGAGGAGGAGGAGGCAGGGGAGGTGGAGGAAGAGGTGAAGGAGGAGATGGTGGAGGCGGCTGAAGGGGGAGAATGGCCGAAAGCTCACCTCATTGCAGCAGGAGGACTCTCCCGACGAAGGCTCCAGCGGCGGCGACGATGGCTCCAGCCAGGGTTGTCGATCCCCGGCGGGGGTCCCGGGGGCCGGGGGTCGGCACCCCTGGCCACGGCAAAAAAAGTAAAAAAAAAATAAAATAAATAAAAAAAATACAGGGGGGTGCGCAGCCGCAGCCTGCACCCCCTGGGCCAAACTGCAATATTGCTGTTTCGGCCCGACCTGGGCCCCCCCCGGGGCTACACCCCACCCCCATGTAGTGCGGGCGCGGGGCCGGGGGCGGGGCCCAGCGGGGTGTGGGGCCGGGGTTGG